TGAGTGGCAGGCAGTCCGCGTGGGGAGCCACCTGAGAGCCAGCAAGTGAATTCGCAGGCCTCTCCACCTCCACTTCTGCCTCCTGCCTCCTGCGGAAGTGGTCTTCTCTGACCCTGGGCTCTTYTGGGGCCCCTGGCTGTGTAAACGCGTTTACCCCGGGAGCCTGGCACTAGGGGCCCCTGGGTGGAGCCATCCGTAGGTGCCCCAGCGGCTCCGGACCTGCAGGGGTAACTGCAGACAGACAGTCACTGTCACACAGGGAAGCTGTTGTGCTGAAGCTCACCTCGGGGTCCCTGTGCACGAGAGGCCGGGCTGTTCTCAGGCCCCTTTGGAGGGCGTGTGGCTGGAAGGGCACAGAGGAGGTGCATGGTGGCATGTCCCTGGACCGCTTCTGAACCTCCAACAGCAGCCCCCAGCCTGAGTGCTCAGAAATGAAGTGGCCCTCACGCGGTGTAGGCCTTTCCAAGGGCTCGCAAGCAGGCTCCAGAGCCCGGTGGCCTGTGGGAGGACCGGCTCCCCTCCCCAGCCGCCCAGGGGGACCCGCTGCCAGGTGGAGGGCCTTCTCACTGGTCAGTCCTGACACAGTCCAGGGACCCAGGAACACGGAGACATTGAATTGGCTTTTTGGCCACTTTTTGGGGAGTGGACCCAGGATTGAACTCAGGGGCACCCGACCCTGAGCCACCCCCAGCCTGTGTTGTGTTTTATTTAGAGACAGGGTCTCTCCAAGTTGTTCAGCACCTTGTGGTGGCTGAGACTGGCTCTAACCTCGCGACCCTCCTGCCTCAGCCCCCGAGCTGCTGCGGGCACCCATGCCGAGCCAGCGGTTTGGCCACCGTGCCCAGCTGTGGGGCCATTTTTGACAAAATGCTTTCATCACATCGTGTGGTAAATGCTCTTTCATTGGAACCGTGAAGTTGCAGATTTAGTTCATTCTATTTATGGCAAATGTGTTCCATGTGACCTGATCCTTCTTGTCAAACTGATGAACCGAATTAGACATTTTCTGCCAGAAACCGTCTGACCTACTTTTTCGATGGAAACCCAAGTGTCGGCGTGCTCTTCCAGGGATATTAAAGAAAGGCACCGAGGAGTGAATCACAGAACACGTCTTGGGAGGTAGGTCGAGAGGCGATGAAGTCAGGATCTTGAACCCGTAGCCCTAGTGCGACCAACCGCCCACTTCACAAAGCGAGTCTCTCTTGCTTTGTAACCACTTGATGGAAGATGCAGGCCAGTGTCTAGGTGACGTGCTCAGTGACGACAGTGACCAAAGACTTGTCCAGGTGTTCACTGCTCCCAGGTGCTAGACACTAAGTTAAAAATCCTTAAAATACCCTCATCTTTTGTGTGTGKGGGGTGCTGGCACTCTACCACCGCAGCACACCCTCAGGCCTTTTTATTGTTGGAGGTAGGGCCTCACTAAGTTGCTGAGGCTGGCCTCCAACTCTCTATCCTCCTGCCTCAGCCCCCCGAGGAGGTGGGACTGCAGTGTGCGCCAACACACCTGCTCTCTCCTTCTCTTGCTTGGCCCTTCTCTCTCCTCTGGGGACGCTGGGGAGGGGACTGGGAACCCCTCTGGGGACGCTGGGGAGGGGACCGGGAACCCCTCTGGGGACGCTGGGGAGGGGACCGGGAACTCCTCTGGGGACGCTGGGGAGGGGAGCGGGAACCCCTCTGGGGACGCTGGGGATGGACCCGGGAACCCCTCTGGGGACCTGGGAATGGGACCCGGGCCTCCTTTGGGGACGCTGGGGATGGACCCGGGCCTCCTTTGGGGACACTGGGGATGGACCCGGGAACCCCTCTGGGGACCTGGGAATGGGACCCGGGCCTCCTTTGGGGACGCTGGGGATGGACCCGGGCCTCCTGCCTGGAAGGTGAGGGTCTGCCCTGAGCCCCGTGGCTGGGCCCAGCCCTTCCTTCATTAACTCTGTCAAGTGTCAGAGCCGAGTGGCCCTGGTGCCCRGAGAGGAAGGGTGTGTGCCAGGAGGCCGTCCAGCAGCACCAGGCACCAGGCTCATGTTTGCAGTGGTCAGTTTTCAGTTCTTCCCAGAAAACATGAGACTGAGTGTGAAGAAGGGACCCAGAGCCGCACCCCCAGTGAGTGCTGACCCTGGGAGAGGGCGTGCTAGAGGGCCCAGGGCCCAGGGCTGCACTGGCCCCCAGGCCTCCCCTGGACAGCTGGGGGCCGTGGGTCTCCCCACACGTCAGTCCCCATCTGCACAGCGGGCGGCTGTGGGCTGCAGCCACTGGGTGCCACCCTCCTCCACGCCCTCCCCGTTAGCCACGGGAATGTCAGCCAGCAGAAGACCCCTGCCAGCCCCCAGACCACCAGACTCCGTCCCCCTGGAGGCTCCCAGGGGAGGTCAGGGTGCATGTTGAGACCAGGGGCTCTCTATGGACGCGGCTTTGCAGCCATTTTCCCCTGAGGTCATTACCAAGGTCCTCTGGAGACTGCCGCCTGAGACACAGTTGGGCCCTGGGCCACCTCTGCTTCCTCGTGGTCCGGGAGTGAGGGCCCCCGGGATCCTGTGGTCATCCTGTCGAGGGCCAAGGCTCTCCCCGTCCACTGGCCACACTGCCATCACCCCACCCCAGGTTTTCGGCCCTCCCTGTGGGGTCCAGGAGGGCCCCCTTGCATGTGGAGTGGAGGCCGAGACCACCTGGGGCTGGGTGGCCCTGGGTGGGGTGGGCGCCGCCCTGCTGCCCGGAGGGCGGAGAGGCACACAGTCCAGCACACCGTCTGTGGAAACAGCTCGTTTTATTGAGAACGTCTCAGACCCTCTGTCTGCGGGACAGCGCCTCATGCTCAGCTCGGCCGGCCTCAGACGGAGGAAGCTCATGCAGGGGACGTGTGGCATACACAGGACACACACAGAGGACACGAGGGCCACACCCTGGCCACAGCTCCTGCTGGAGCACACTCCCACGGCGTCCGAGCCTCAGCCACCTCCAACAGCAAGCAGCGAGCAGGTGCCTGCGGGGCCAGGGGTCACCTCACCACCACACCCCACGTCCAGCAGGCCGGGCCCACGCCACCGAGACCCGCCGCCTGGCAGGCCAGAGGCCACCGCATCACTTCCCGGCATCACAGGACCCCAGAGCGCCAGCCCAAGGAGCCCGCCAGCCTCGAGCAGAGCCTCCACCTCCGCGGGCCTGGGCACCAGGGGAGACGCAGGTGCACCCCAAACCCAGGTCCTCTGCCCTGGCCACGCGGACTCTGGGACTGATACAGAGGGATTGGACCTGGGGACAGAGAGTGACCTCACTTTGCTTCTCCTGCTGGCGTTTCTGGTGCGTGGCTCAGGAGTGGAGAACACTGCCCACACCCGTGCACAGCCCACCGGCAGCCGCTCTCCAGCACCCGCACCCGGAGCTGCTCCCGCGGGTGCAGTGACCTCTGGCAGTTGTGACGCCCCGGGAACCTGGCTGGGGCCGCCGCTCACACACTGAGATGAAGCCACTGTGTGGTCAGGAGACAGGAAAGGATGATGGAAGTAGAGACCTGAGTCGAGCTGCGATTCTTTGGCACCCCTGGCTGGAGACTACTGCCTGCGGCCTCGGCAGGGGTGGCCAATGGCCAGCCCTGCCCCACCACTGCGGCTGTCCACACAGAACATGTGGCCCACCTGAGACTCCCACACGCCCTCCCACCGCTGAGCCAGCTGCCTGGCAGAGCCGTCCCTGAGCACCCGGGGGACAGTGTCTGGGGCACAGCACTCCAGGGGTCACTCACAAGCAGAAGAGACCCCGCCCCCCACTGTCAAAATGTCAGAACTCAAAGATCTTTTCCTCAAAAAGTCAAGTCCCTGATTGTGTCAGATCCTGTGAGCCTGCAGGTCCAGATCAAGGGCTGGATGGCCAGGGCCACCATGGCAGGACTGCCCCCGGAGGGCAGCGTGAAGCCAGCCCCACGGTGTGTTATTGCGTGTGGGACGTGTTCCTGCTGGACTCCAAGGCTGAAGCCCACCACCAAAGACAAGTTCACCTCCAGTCGCCCGAGCACGATGCCTCTGGCAGACGAGGGGACGGCCGGGGCAAGGGGGACCCAGCACTGCCCAGCACTGCCCAGCGTGGCAGCGGGTCTGAGACCAGCAGTGGGGGCTGGGGTGGGCCTGTCTGTGCCCACTGCCCCTGGCTGTGCCCTCCCGCCAGGCAGGGCGAGCCCAGGGGACCGGAGCCGTCTGCCCAGGCAGCGCACTCAGCTCTCAGCCTGGTCACTGCAGCCACGCCCCGCTCTCTGGCTGCCTACTCCCAGGGCACCAACAGCAAGGTGGACAGCCCGGTGCCACCCAGGCCTCATGCCTGGGCGTGGGGTTGCGGGTCTGGGCCTGCCACTGCCGTGGCCCCAAGGCCCCCTGGAGCCCTCTGGAGCCGACAGGCTCCTGCCCTCTAGTCCTGGAGCTCCAAGGCACCTGTGCCGCCTCCGAGCGCAGGTCCAGGTGGGCCCTGGCTGCTCCTGCCCAGAGGCTCCCTGCGCAGCACCCCGGGGACCTCAGCCTCTGGTGCCCACCAGCCCCAGGCTGCCAGTCAGCTGGAGGAGTGTCTGATGAGGCCGGAGGGGGGACGGAAGTGCCAGCGGCCAAGTCCACCTGGGCACGCGGCTCCCTCCCTGCGAGGGCCTGGCCGGGAGCCTGGGGCCCAGGCCCCTCTGGCACAGCCACCCAAGGTCCCCTCCGTCCACAAAGGCTCCAAGACCCACATGACCAGCCAGCAAAGGACGCTGGACATGCTGCATCTTGATGATCCAGAGTGAACTGAGGAAGGCTCCCATGACCCCACCCAGGAGTACGGAAGCTTCCAGAGGCAGCGGAGGAGCAGCCGGGGTCACATTCTGCAGGACTGGGCACCGAGGCCCCACCAGGGAGGCCTGCGCGCCCCTCGGGGATCCACTCCAGGCCCCACCCCCCTCCAYCCCCACGTTTTGCAATTAGAACCAGGTGGCATCCAAGTGACCTGACATGTTCACTTCTTGTTTTATAGACCACATTCCTAGCTCTGAATAAATTATTTATTCGAGGATCTCACACGCGCCGTGTCTCCGTTCCTACACTCAGGAAGCCCTACTCAGTAGAACTCGATCTCTAACGTAGATTGGAGTTGGAAGCAGTCACCGGATGACTCAGGAGGGGACATGAGTGCACCTGTCCCAGTGCAGACGTGAGATGCCCGGCACCCCACAGCCCCACACCTGCCCTGGTTGGGTGCGTGACGCCAGTGTCCCTGGCCCGTGCCTCACCAGGGTGTGTGCCTGCCCGAGTTCAGAGGTGAGGTTTGGAGATGGTGCAGGACACAGTGTCCCTGGCCCTCGCCAGGGTGTGAGCCTGCCCCAGGCCAGACGTGAGGTTTGGGGATGGTGTGGGGCCGACAGCCCTGCACCCTGAGCTGGGCCCACGGGTCAGGGTGTGAGGGAGAACTGGTCCTGCTCCGTGGGCTTCTCCACCCAGGCGCCCAGCCCTGCCTTGATGAAGGCGGTGAAGAGACGGGCCTTGGCGGCCTGGTACTCCTTAGCCGCCAGCTTGGACTCGTGGTAGGTGGTGGGCTTGAGGATCTTGGTCCGCAGCAAGTGGGGAGGCACCTGCGGAGGAAAAGGGAGCGTGAGAGGCGCCCTGCGGGACCGACACACCACCCCGCGCAGAGCTCTGACCACCAGGCACCAGGACCACCCTGGCCGGGGGGACAGCCCTGAAGCCAGGGGGACAGCTCCTGCAGCAAACAGGCCAGGGCTCTGCGGCGTCCCACCAGGGAGCCCACTACACACCCCGGGTTCTGGGGCCAGGCTTCTGGCAGACCAGCTATTTCCCGGGCTGGGTGTTGGTGACCACAGGGACACCTCACTGCCCTGCAGGGCCAGGGGTCCCTGGTGGCTGAGCTGCAGCGCACAGGCCTGTCCTGGGTGCCAAAGGGCAATTTCTATCTGAGCCCCCATCTCTGTTCCGGGCTTGATGGAAATAAAATCTAAGGGTCACTGGCCACACGTCAGGGCTGATCCTGGGAACCGGGCCCTGTGGCTCACAGGAGAGCTGTGGGGCTCTGGGCGGAGGGCTCAGCAGAATCCAGGCGGCGCAGCCGAGAGGACAGGGGGCGGCGGCTGGCCCTCCATTCCCGTGGTCAGCACTGAGCACCAACATGAGTTCCTCTCGGGACGGTTTGGATCTGAGATGGCCCCAAAGGCCACGTGGTGAGGCCTTGGTCCCCAGCCTCTGGTGCTGTGGGCGGTGGGCTCGAGGGAGGAAGCTGGGTCCCGGGACCTGCTCCTCGCTGCCCTCCCTGCGGCCCCTCCCGTCCTGGTCGCCATGAGGTGAACAGCTCCCTGCCACACTCTGCCCTAGGCGTGCTGCCTTGTGACGGCCAGCAGGAGGGACCTGGGAGAGCTGCGAGGCGGGGCTGAGGCGCCCAGAACAGGGTGGGCAGAGCCTGAGGGCAGCTGGGGGACTGGAGAGCCAGTCTGGGCTGCTGGTGAGGGGCCCTKCGGGCCTGGACCCAGGGCCACCGTGCTACGAGTCATGCTCCGAGGCTCTGGGTGAGGACCCAGCGTATGTGGTGGAGGGATCCGAGGCAGCACAGCCGCCAGGCCGTGGGATGGGGCTGCTGGACACTTGTGGTCAGATTCACAGTGGGAACTGGGAGCGAAAGCAGAGCAGAGAGATTCTTAAAACTTGCAGCTTTGCCACAAAAGGAGCAGGTCTCAAGGTGGCAGGGACGGTGCCTTTGCCAGAGAGACTACAGCCATTAACAAGAAGCCAAGTACCTCACCAGTGCCAGGGACCCCAGGGACCCCAGGATCGGGGGACAGCCCCAGGTGCCTGCTCACACAAGGCCACTCGGCCGTTTTTCTGTGATGAATGTCCCTGAGTTCAGGGACACTGCATCGGGTCACTGCAGCCAGTGAGTGCTCTCGCCTGCCAGACCCTGGGGTCCCCTGGTGACGCTGGTTCTGCAGGCATGGAGGGGCCGCACGAGAGGTGGGAGGCCAGCCGGGCGGCCAGGCGGCGTGTGGCGTGTCAGGCTGAGCTGAGGCTGCAGGGGAGGCCTGGGCGTCAGAGAGGCCAGGGATGGGCAGCGTCTGCCAAGCCCAGCTGCAGGCAGAGAGCAGAGCCACCCGGGAGAGGCCACGTGGCCAGGCTGGAGCAGGCCTCCCAGGCCCCGGGAGCTCGCCTGTCACCACAGGCCCGTCTACAGGACGCGGGGTGGGCCTGGCCAGGGTCGGTCCTGCCTGGCCCGATGCCTCCCTGTGCCGCCCGCCCTCCTCCCCCTGGACAGGCACGTCTGCCTGCGCCTGGCCCACCACTGCACGAGGACAGGTGGCTTCCTGCTCGACGCCGCGGCTCACCACTAAGGAGCTTCAGTCCCGGGCTCTGTGGCAAGGCTGGGACAGTCGAGACCYGGGGACCCTGCGGTGGAGCCTGAGGCAGGACATGAGGGTCTGGGTCTGGGATGTCTCCCACAGCCCCGCCGCAGGGGGAGATGGAGCGGCCTGGACAGGCAGGGACTTTGGGAGGGGGGTTCCCTGGGTGTGCACTTGGTGTGTGAGGGGACGGGGGCACCTGGCACTTCTGCTCTGTCCCTGCTCCCAGCTGCCCTGAGGTGAGCACCTCGGTTCTGCCCTGTGCTCCCCTCCATGATGTGCCTTGTCACGGGCCGAAGCAGACCCTGAGACCTGGGGGCGAAATGAACTTTTTCTTCAAGCAGATTTGTCTCAGGTGTCTTGTCACAGTGGTGACGAGCCAGCGACGCCCTCCCATGGCAGCCCGGGGCAGTGAGGAGGGGTCTGCCTCTGAAGCAGCTTTGGGCCTGGGAGCTGAGGACCCACTTCCAAGCTCAACACGACGGGAAGGAACAGAGAGGGCCCAGACGGTCCCCCCGGGAAGGGTGTGGGGACGACCACGAGGACGGGGACCCAGACGGCCGGGGCGAGCGCGCAGTGCGGGGAGGGCACCTCAGTACCTTGCCGTGCACACGCATCCAGCGAGAGTACAACGCGTGCTTACACAGGCGCGAGGGGCGGCCCAGCTCGTCCTTCCCCGTGGTGGCGTTGATGACCTCCAGGGCGCTGTCACCGACCGTCCAGTTGACGCTGAAGTTGGGCGCCTTGCCTGGCTGCCGCGCCTCTGCGTTGCTAATGCCTGGAACGGAGCAGTCACAGAGAGCGACATGAGCCTGTGAGCACGTCCTGGGACAGGAGGGGACGTCCGGGGCAGCTGGCTGCTCACACACAGTCACAGGGCAGCGCCAGCAGAGTGCCATCTGCAGAGGCACCCACACCTCCACTGCCACCGCGCTCTGGGCCCAGGCCAGCAGCGGGCCAAGAACCTGCAGCACACCCTGGGGGCACACTGGTCGGCGACAGGGCACGGGCCACAGCTGCCTGCCACGGAGCCTCAGCCCACGGGGGCCAACAGGGCTGGAACCTTGCAGCCTGCGGGGGTAGGAGCCATCGTGGTTAACTCGGGTGCTGCCAAGAGAGCTGGCGGAGTCCTCCTCCGTGAGCCCACCCTGTGTGCCCCGGCTGTCCAGAGGCCAGGCGCCAGGCCCCACCGGCCCCCAGGCACGACACCCAGTGGAAGAGGAGCCACGGCTCTCAGCGAGTGGCTTCCCACTTGCCAGCCCTGCCTCAAAATAAGAAAACAGGGCTGGGGACGTGGCTCRGTGCAGGACAGCCCCGGGCTCTATCCCCAGCAGCACAAGATGAAACAGATGAGAAAGAGCATCGCAGAAGACCACTCCGCACAGCACAGAGTGGACATGGCCAGGAGACCCCGCCTCCTCCCCTCCGGCCTCTCTCTGCAGGACCGGGCACTGGACCCAGGTGCTCGCGGTGAGCTGCCTCCCCAGCCCCGTAGTCTGTATTTTGAGACAGCGTCCTGCTGAGTTGCCCAGGCTGGACCTGCGATCCTCCTGCCTCAGCCTCCTGAGGAGCTGGGTCACAGTGTGCCGCCAGCAGGTGAGAGCAGATTCCTTCCAGAAAACAACACAAACAGGACGATAGGAGCAGCATCTTGTGAGGGCCCGAAAGAAGATTAAAAGGCGGCATCCACAGTCGCAGCCAAGTACATGTCAGAGTGAGACCCTCCAGACACAGCGGGGGTCACCACCCTCCGAAGAACCCAGCACAGGAAGGCCAGAGGAAAGGGCGGCCAGGGAGACCAGCTCCAGGTGGAGGAGGTGGGCTCTGGAAACGGCCGCTACAGGACAGGCCTAGGAGAGCGTCCCCATGTCAGTGAGTGCCCTTAAAAACTGACCACCCAAACAAAAATCGTCTGTGGGGTTTTAAACAGATATCCACGTCTCAGGAGTAGCTGGACACGGTGCCTTTACTCATGTATCTCTCAGTGGGGCTGAGAAGGGGCCCCTGGCCCCACGGTGCTGGGCAGTGCTGGACCCCGGAGCCTGGCCCAGCCCTGGAGCGGGATTTTAACACTCAGAAGACGGTGCAGGACCACACAGCAGGCCGGAGAAGGAGCCTGTGTGGGTCACCGTGCAGGAGGCTGTGCGGCCTCAGAGGAGCGAGGCACCGCAACAGACCTGCAAACCCACAGAACAAAGAGCGTCAGAGGGACCAAATGGAGTGCACTCATCAGTCTCCGCAGAGACGGGGAGAGACAGCTGAGAGCCGTGAGGGGCAGGAGAGAGCCAAACAGCGGAACTCGGGGGACTCCGTTTTGAAGACCAGCCTGTACCTCAGAGCAGGGCCTGTCCCAGGAGGGGGGTGGCCCTGTCCTTGGAAAACCCGTTCCTAGGCACACAGCTACCTGCCGGGTCATTTGTCCGCACCAGAGGTCCTTGACTCAGCAAAGGCAAGTTCCTGGAAAGACCAAAAGAAGGCCCCAGGCCACAGCAGCCACCCACCAGGTGACATGGGAGACACCTGAAATGCCAGGGCCCCCAGGGGTTTGTGATTGGCCACGTGACCAGGCCACCCTGCAGTTTAGCACACTCTTGCAACCCCTCTGGCCTAGACCAGTCAGTTCAAAGGTATCCACCATGTGAACTAACCCATCAGCCACCCAACTTGTTCCCGCCAGTGAAGGTGCTGATCCAGGTAAGAGTTGGGTTTGACTTTCCTGCAGTGTGCCATGATTTGCTGTGTGATGCTGTGACACATAAAGTATCCCCCCCCAAAACCTATAAATCCTCAGTGACTAAGGGCCGCACTCACTCCCTGGGACGGCTGCATCAGGAACGGTTGTGAGTCCAGGCTCGAGCTTGCAATGAAGACTCTGGTGTGCTTCATAGGACTCGGCTCCTGGAGGTCTATGGGGTCCCAGCAACCTCAGTGACCACGACGAGGCCTACGGTCCACGGACCTCAGAGAGGAGGCAGGATGGCCACTGGTGGCAGGGGCCAGGCCCTAACCCACATGCCGACAGGACTTGCTTTTAGTAGGGAACAGCTTAGAATAAAGGGCCATCACTAAGACACCGGGTGCTTTAGCAATGAAGAGAGAGCTCAGGAGGCCAGGACACAGGTTCCTGCAGAGAGAGGAGACTGCCTGGGGAACGGGATCCTCGGTCCTGCATCTACCTGCAGAGCTGCGGAGCCCCAGCCCTGGACAGAGGAGAGGTGAGGACGGGTAGTCAGAGCCCAGAGAGCTCGGGGAGCCCGCCCAGCACTCAGAGCCAGGAGAGGGCGCAAGGGCAGAGTAGGGTCCATCTGAAGGGCCAACCTGATTGGATTGAGAGGAGGATGGAGAGGTTCTGGGTGTGTCCGTGAGGGCGTGTCCAGGAGTGATGGGCACGCGGGACAGCCAACTGAAGTGGAGGCCCTCCCTCGTGTGGGCAGCACCACCCAATAGGAGGGCGGCCTGGATGGAGAGAAATGTGGAAGTCAGGCAGCCCCCTTCTTGACGGGTCCTCGATTCCTGCTGCTGCTGCTGCTGCTGCTGCTGCCCTCTAGGAACCGACTCTCCCTTCTTCTCTTCCACAGGGGCCTCTGCCGGGATTCTCCAGGAGGCTTGGGTCTCAGACAGCAGCACGGTGGCCCCCTGTTCTGGGGCTTCAGCCTCCCGGACTGCGCAGCTACTGGTTCTCTCCGCTCTCCAGCCTGCAGATGGCCACGCGGGACTGTCCAGCTTCTGGTCACGTGAGCCAGCCTAATAAGTCCCCCTCTGTAATCATCCTTCCTGTTGGTTCTGTCCCTCTAGAGAGCCCTGACCAGTACCACTCCCAGGCATCCTAGACGCCTTGTCTTCTGTGCCCTGAGCACAGGACAGCAGCTGGACACAGCAGGAGCCGCCGCCCGAGGGCCGGCGGAAGGCAGCGAAACCAGGGCTGGTTCTTCAGGTGACAGAGGACTTGGTGGCCCTTCAGCCAGGCAGGCAGGGAGAGGGGTCACCACAGTGACCTGGGAGCAGGAGACACTGAGCACACTGAGGGCCACACACATCTTCTAAGCAACAGCAAGGCACTGCCCTCCAAGAAGGTGACAGTCAGAGGGAACGGCCACTTTCAGGAAGTTGTGGGTCTCCAAACTGAAGAAAAGGGTGAGCAAAAAACAGTCCTGTATTTTAGAAACTGAATTCATAGCTAAATTTTCTCACAAGCAGACCCCAGGCCCAACGACTTCACTGGAGAATTCTACCATCACTCAGGGAGGTGCTCCCCTCAGCTACTCAACACTTCCAGAAAAGCTGGGGGACATGTCTCATCCACGTCGCCACAGTCCAGCGTCCCCAGGGACAGAGCACCTCAGGGCAGAGACGCCCCAGAGTCCAGCAGGTGGGATCCAGCGAGTACAGAGCAGGGTGCTGCTGACAGSTGCCCAGGAGCACGGGTGGAAAAAACTGAGAAGTGACCACACGACAGTCTCAGAGCCGGGAAACRCACACAGCTCCCGTTCGCGGCTTCTCGCCCTGGCAAACCAGGAACAGAAGAGGACCCCTGCAGGAGCCCAAGCTGACAGCATGCAGCCGTCCAGGCTGGCTCCTCCCAAGGCCACTCGCGAGACCATGCTGTCCAAGTGCATGTCCCCACACAGGCTTTGGGTCTATCCAGGACAGCAGGACAGCAGGAAAGGAGGAGGGCAGGGCCCCAGGGCCACCTGTGCACACCACTTTATGGCAGCTGGTCAGCGGTGGATGGGCCACAGGCAACTGGAAATCTGAGCGGCTGTGTGGCCCTCAGCGCAGCCAGGAAGTGAGCCACCTGGATTCAAATCTGACCAAGGGTGTGCAGCCTGCCCTGCAAGCCAGGTGCGTGACGGTGGCCTGGGTCAACTGGGAGACTCCGGTCACCACGCAGTCCTCCTCAGARACCCACACAGTCGGCAGTCCACCAGATCAGCCGCCTTGTGCAGATCCTGGGAGCCGAAGGCCACGGATCCGGGGAGCCCAGAGAAGCTGGACTCACAGGTGCACACACCGCCATCCCGAGGGGCTGCACACCTCAGCTGAGGGTCCAAGGAGACAGACAAGCCTGGTGGGGAGGACCGTGAGGAGGGCCACAGGCACAGAGCCCTCTGGACTCAGGGAAAGTGAGAGGGAGGACTTTCACCCACCCGCTCTGCTGGAACGCAGTCCTGTTAGAAGCGGCAACTCGGACCCCCCAGTCTACGGCACCAGCCGCACAGGCGGACATGACCCTCAGGGAGAACTCTGGCRACTGTGGACGTGACTTGAGTCACACCCCGGGCCTGGGTGAGCACTGTGACGAGAGCTGGAGACACACCTGGCTGGGAAGTGCTTTCAAACCATTTATGGGATCAAGGACGTGTATCCAGAAAACGGGCCAGTGGTCTCGGACGGGTGGTGAGGTCAAGGAGCCCGATGACAGTGCGGGAGGTCCAAACCATCACCGAGGAGGCCGCAGAAGAGCGGTCAGCAGTGAAAAGGTGCTCGGCTGCCCAGGCCCCTGAGGGTTTGGTCTGCAGTGTCCACCGGAGCCGAGCCTTGACCTTGATGTGCGGGGAAGCCCGTGCCCTGGCTGGCTTTCAGCTYGTGCTCTGTCCAGCTTTGGGATCACGGCCAGGCCAGGCCCTTTCTACAGCTTGGGGAGTCCCTGGAGGGGCTGGCGTGTCCCTAGACAGCTGGCGGGACYGTCTGCGTGTGCTGGGGACAGTTCACCTGCCGACACCTGCCCAAGGCCTTCCCTGAAACCCGCTCGGCCACTGACTGTCCTCAGAGTCTGAAGTCTGTGAGCCCCAGGGCCGGACACACGGTGCTGCTGGACCCTGCTCCCCGGGGCCGGGCCGGGGCTCAGGGCAGAGCCCTTGCTGCCGCGAGTGGGGCCCTGGGCTCCATCCTCASACCACACAGAAATAAGCAAAATAACGGCGTGTGTCACTGCRAATGAAAGAACTGGAAAAGAAAAAGAAACCCGCTCCGCGACCTGGAGGCGAGCCGCCGTCCCCTCGCTCTCACCGTGAGTCACGCCGACCCTGAGTCACGCCGACCAGCCGGCTGGCAGCCGGAGCCTGTTTGGCCCTCTCCCGTCAGTGCCTCTGGTGACTGGTGGATCTGGATCCTCTCCCTGTTTCCTATACCTCCACCCTCCCCTCCTGCTCTCCCATTCCCATCTTCTTCCCGTATCTTCTGTTAACTTGTTCACTCTTTTCCCGATTTCTGGGACTGAGAGCTTGGTTGTTTCCTCTCAGGTCACCCCACGGGGGTGACCTCCTCGCAGTGGCTGGGCCCCGCCACCATTTCCTCCGTGTGTTCTAAGTAAACCCAGGGACGTGCTGCTTCCTGTCCTTTCCAGGGGCAAAGCTTTGGCCTTTGCATCTTAAGGACGCAGAGCCAACTCTGTGGCAGAGGAAGTGCCTGGGGCCCTGGAGGAGTCTGGGTGACAGCTCTCCAACAGCTCCTGAGGAGCCTGGGATGTGGTCTCTGACCTCTGTCGCCAGCTGCTGGGCCACACCTGGGTTCTGCTGCTTCGTGTCTGGACTGCTCCTTCCTGAACAGCTTTGTGGGTTTCCTGGAGTTTGCACTCTCCTGGGTTTTCTTTTGCTGTTCGCCTGCACTCTCGTCCCGCCAGCTTCCCGGGCCTTTGCTGGATGGGGACATTTCACTCCGCGAGCACCCTCTTCAGAGCTCCTCCAGGACTGCTCCTCTTGGGTGTGGCCGGCCGCCCTCCCCACCCCTGGATCTGCGTTCCGTCTCCTCCTGTGGAAGTCTCTCCGTACTGCCAGAGCATCTGCACGGATGCTGGGTGTCTTCTGAGTCCTTGAGCATCTCAGACTCACCCTTGCCCCACRCTAGACACCACCTGGCCGCAGGAAAGGCACAGGACACTCCTCAGATCCCGTCCCGCTCACCAGGCACCGACACGGCTCACGAAGTCGGACGCGCACGTCGTTGAGGTACACGTCGGGCCACTTCCTCTGGTTCTGGCCTTCTGATGGGGTGCGAGGACTCCGGGCGTGGACCTCCCCAGAACCTCGGGTTTGTGTCGGGCCTGCACTTACAGACGTGGCACTGGCCGGGGCGCCCGGCGCGGTYTCTGCTCTGGGTCTGTTCCTCACAGGTTGTCCCCTGCGGTGTTCCTCAGAGGTCTGCTGAGGGCTGCTGTCCACTCACGGTGCCGAGAGCATGCAGCTGGCGGCCTGGTTCCTCCGTGTCTTTGCCGAGTGCTCGACTGTGGGCAAGGCCCCACCTCTGCCAGTGCTGCCGCCCTGCTCAGCTCCCCCGTGGGGTGGCCAGGGGCCTTGGCCCTGGCCCTGGGCCCCAAGGCACTGAGGCTGCCAGACCCTCAGCATGGCCACTCCCTCTACAGACATGGAGGCCAGGCGGGAAGGCCAGGTGGGAAGGCCAGGCGGGAAGGCTATGCCAGTGGACCCCCCCCCCCACAGGAGGTGGCTGGGTCACAGGGTGCCTTCACGGGGGACCAGGGGAGGTGGCTGTGGGGGTGGCTGGGTCATGGGGGTACTGCCCTCAGAAGGGGTTGATGAGTTCTTGCTGTACCCTGGTCAGTTTCTCAAGAGCCAGTTGTTAGTAGAGTGACCCCAAGTTCTGCTTCCTCCCTCACAATGAGATCTCTTCTGCACAGACTTGGCTCCCGCACTTTGGTTCCTTCTTGTCTTATAAGATTCCCTTGCCTCAGGCTGAACATGGGGCTGCCCAGTCTTACGTTTTAGCCTCCAAACTGTGAGCTATTGACCTCTTTTGTTTATAAAGTCTCCAGGCTCCAGTATTTTGTTATAGCAACATCACATAGAGGGCAAAAAGTGGACACCATCTTTAGCATCATGAGGAATTCACACACCAACACACAGCACGACACTCCAAGCTGCAGGGGCGCTCCAGGCTCCAGGTGCCACCGCCAGTCCCAGCACTCAGTTCTGTCTTCTTGAAGAAGAAGGTTGTGGTTAGGGAGCTCTCAACTCTGAGCCCAGACACCTTCGTACTCCCGTACCCGGCACCCTGAAAGAGCCGCACCTGCTCTCTCMACAGAGGCGTGCTAGCGGCCAAGCTCTCAAACACGGCAGAGACACGCACACCACAGAAGGCTGTTTTAGTTTAGGGTTAGGGTTTTAGTTCTGAGCATCAAAAAGTAAGTAAGGGGTTACTTTTAAAAGGGTAAAAATACCTTAATTGTGTCCTTTTAAATAAGGGTGGGCTTAGAAGTTAAGACCCTTGAATTCAAAAGCTCCTGTTCTCTTTACTGTCAGCCTCTGACATTCTAAAAAAAGAGAAGAAACCAGCAAAAAGGGCGTGAGAACAGGAGAAGCCACTGCGGAGAAGGCCTGCCAGTCATGCCCGCCTGCCATGCTCGCCACGTGGCAGGGGCCTGGCACCCGAGGGTGGACACCCATGGCTGCCCCAGCTGCTCAGTCTGGGGCAGCCGACACTGACCCAGCGGCCACAGGGGCAGAACAGGCCTGTGGTGGGAGAGCAGAGGCCGCTGCTGGCCCCTCTGGGAACGCAGGGTCTGTGCCTAGCCAGAGCCCGCGCCTTGCAGAGGGACAGGGTGAGCAGAGGCCAGGCACCTCTCCTGCCAGGCGGGCAGCCGAGGCCTGAGGACCCGAGGCATCGGGGGCAGTGAGCGCGCGGGGTACTTGCCGCTGAGCAGGGGCTTGTTGAGGGTGTAGAGGGGCGGCAGGTCCTCGATGTTGGAGATGCGCTGGTACATGGCCCTGGAGAGGTGGTCGCCGTGGTACAGGCTGCCCAGGATGATGCTGGAGAAGTAGACGGGCTCCACGAAGATGCTGAGCAGGGAGCCCTGGGTGCCCACCACGTTCCAGCTGTGGGGAGAAGGACAGCGCTCAGTGGCACCCGCCGTGACCGCCCCGCAGGGCGAGGTCCAGCTGCCTCGGGGAGCCTCACAGGCAGGGTCTGCTGGACAGCCACGCAGAACGGAGCTTCCTGCCGCCTGAGCCAGGACAGCCGGGGGTGCTCCAAGGCCCTGGCACAAGGTGCCCCAGGAACCTCAGGCCTGCGGGGCCAGCCCGCCCTCCACGCCCCCAGAAAAAACAGCTCCGACGTCACTGCAGGCCCGGGAGCCRCCCCTCCTTCCCGTGGGCGGGAACACAGCACTGCGCACGGCSGGGAGGTGTGGGGGCACTGACCCTCCTGCCCAGGCTGTGGCAACCCAGAGCCACCGCACACCCCTCAGCCCCAGACTGCCCAGGCGCCAGTGGGCAGGCCACCTGAGGCCACAGAGGGACCTAAGTGGGCCGACGAGGCCGGGTTCGAGACAAGCAACCCAACGCAGAGGAGTGAAGAGCCCAGCCCCAGGTGGAAGGGGGCCAGGGGAGCCCACTCTGGGGCAGAGGAGGGGGCTGGCCACGGAGGCTCCCTGGGGCTTCAGGACTGAGCACGGGCAGGTCCCGGGCTCCGGGATGGGTCGTAGGCAGGTGGGGGCAGGGGTAGGTGGGGGGACGGGGAGGTGGGGGTGGGGGGAGGGGCAGGTGGAGGCAGGAGCAGGTGGGGGCAGGGGCAGGAACAGGTGGGGGCAGGGGCAGGTGGGGGTAGGGCCAGGTGGGGGGCAGGGGCAGGTGTGGGCGGGGGCAGGGGTGCTCCTAAGGCAGCAGCTCTTGGACACAGGTGTCTCAGGAGAGGGCTGACCAGATGTGCCTTTCAGAGTCCCATGGGCAGTGCAGGACTCAGGGGACGCATCAGCCCGGGTCAGAGGGAAACAGCGAGGGATAGGGCAGTGCTGGTGCTAAGACACCTGGCCAGGTGTGGGACTGGAGGACCTGGGTGGTGAGGTCCAGGCCCAAGCATGCTCCAGACCCACTCTCACAGCACAGCCCACCTGCCCAGGTGATGTCCCCTGCTGGCCCACGGACGGAGTGAAAGGTGGGAGTCCAGAGGTGGGAGCAGAGGGGTAGCCCAGGTTGAGCAGCAGCTGGGCCTCAAACCCAATCTGCCCCAGCTCTGACCTCATCTTCTCAGGCCACCAGGGTCACCCTTGGGTCACTCTTGCCTCCTCCCTGTCAGGGCCATTGGCAGCAGGTCCATGGGATCTGCTTTCAGAACAGGTTCAGGGTCCAGCTCTGACTACCTCCACTGCGGGGCCAGGTCAGCTCTAGGAGGAACCCGGGAYCTGTCCTCAGCCTGCCCAGCCAGCAGCTGCAGGGCCCTGTGCAGATGCAGGTGGCTCCCAAGGAAAGGCCACCTGTGCCCCGGCCCACAGGCCTGCGCCCCCAGGCTCCAGGCCAGCCTCCCGCAGCTCCTCAGCCTGGAGCACGTCCCAGGCAGCGTGGCCACAGCTGCTCCCCTTGAGCCTCCTGCAGAGCCTCTCAGAGWGGCTCTGCCGGCTCTCACTGCCCCTACCCTGTGTGAGCGGCCCTCCCCTGCCCGGCCAGAGCCTGGACACCATCAGGACGGCCGTCTCATTCACGGATCCCCCRTCCCTGCGCAGCAGTGCCAGCCCAGACGGCACACTCAAGGGTGGCCAGTCCTCCAGCTCCTGAGCTCCCTCCTGCCACCCCCAAAGGAGGTGGAAACAAGTTCCCTGTCCTGATGACTGGACACTAAAGACCCAGGGCAGACCAGGAGCCTCCTAGAACCCAGCCCCAGGCTCCTGCCAACCGTCCTGCAGAAGCTGTCTGTGGGGAGCCGCTGACTCTGAAGGCACTTTCAAGGGCCCAGGGTCTCCTGGAGCCGGCCGAGCCCTGTGTGGACCTGGGGGCCCCACGGCCCACTCTGCCGGCAGCCCCCAGCCCCCAGAGCACAGCCCTCGCCGCCTCCCGGAGCCCAGGGGCCTGCCGTGGGGGAGTCCTAGAAAGCTCTTCACCGGCTGGAGCATGTCCCCGGGGGCCCACCAGGCGTCCACACCCGTCCAGCCTGAGGATCAGGAGCTCCACACACTCTGCCCCGGGAAGGGCCTGCCCAGAACCCACCCACCCACGCCCAGACCCAGGGTCACGAGGAGCCCTCCTGGTGCGCCACCGGGGGAAGGCAGGCTCGGGAGTCCCGTGCCGTCCTCTGCTGTGCTGGGCCAGGTCATCTGTGCTGGCCTTTTGGCTCACTCTCTGAGGGTGTTTCTGGGAGCACTGCCACCAATCTGTGCCCTGGACCCACACAGAGCCCCACCTGGCCCAAGAGACGCAGCACACAGAGGACACTGCCACTGGGCCCAGCGGGCAGTCTGCCCAGCTGCAGTCCCGTCCTCCCTGCCTGACTCTGCCCCGCATCAGCAAGCCATCTGTCCCCACCTGGGGGGTCCCTGTCCACTCCCACAGCCCAACATTGCGCACAGGGAACTGCGGCCACCAGAGTGGACTCCAGACCCATCCACACTGGGGCCCCGACCCACGTGCCTTGGGGCTGTCTTCCTGCCACTCTGCCTGCCCGCCGCTGGACAGACAGACAGGCACCCTGGTGCCCTCCAGGGCAGTGCTGTGCCCCCTCCCCACGCTGACCTGCCACATCCCTTGGTCAACAGGCAGTGGACACAGCGGGGCCCTTGTGGGGGTAAACAAGCCGGCTGCCTGCTCCTGCTCCCCTGGTCCTCCACAGTACCTCAGGGGCCGTGAGCTCCAGGCAGACACCTGCCACTTCCTGGTCACCTGTGTCCCCTCTAGGGATGGGCTTCCCTCTTCCCTGGGTTGGCCTCGGCTCTTCCTCAGTCAGAGCATCGGACACACCAAAAGAGCCTGCTGTAGGGCGGGTCCCTGGGTCCAGCCCCATGTGCGCCTCCCTCTGCCAGACGAGGACGTCCCCCCACCCAGCCAAGCCCTTGAGTCAGTGCTAGGCAGTGCAGGGGGAGGGACGTGCTGGCCATCCAGTTCCAAGCTCTGGGCTCTGCTGGTACGTGGATTTTCTGAGGGGCCTGGAGACTAAGGCGGCAGTTCCAGGTCAGCTACATTTGCTTATTTTCCTGCCCTACCCAAGAACCTGCCTCAGGGGCGACCAGAGGCCCCTGGCCACTCTTCATGGGCCTCTCACRGTCAGGAGAGGGCTCTGCATGTCTGACAACAGGCCATTGTTTGCTGTCCATGAAGCGTCAGGCCTGCCTGCACAGCTCTTGCTCCTCCACGAACACGAACAAAAACAGGAGAAGGTGTCTTTTCCTAAATGCTCCAATCCCAGCCCCCAAAGAAAACAAAGTATCAGGCCTACAGAGAAACATGGCACAGTCAAAGAACCAAACATAAATCTCTATAAATAAACTGACCTTAAAATAATGCTACATGACAAATAATTTAAAGTAATAACAAAGACCTGTGCAAAGGAACCACAGATTCAAGGACTGAAAAATGCAGTAACTGAACTGAAAACTTCACCAGGCAGAAGGAAGGGCAATGAACTTGAAGACAGGTCAGTTGAAATCACTGAGCAAGAGAAACAAAAAGAAAGAAGAGTGAGGGCCTCGCCGTGCAAGGCCCTGGGTTCGACCCTTAGCACCACATATAAATAAAATAGTTAGGAAAAAGAAAAAAGAAGGGAAACAGTAAAGAAAGTCTATAAAATCACAAGACACTGCCAAGCCGACCAATACACATATTCTATAAACCCCAGAACAAGAAGAGGGAGAGAAAGGAGCCGAGAGCTTATTTGAAGAAATAATGGCTAAAAGCTTCCCCAATTCGAATAAAGATGGACCACACAGATTCAAGCTCAAGCGAAACCAGGCTGAGTGCAGGAGAACAGTGGCCAGGCACATTTCCATCCAATTGTCTAATCAAGACAGAGTGACCTGGAACTCAAAAGCAGAAGTGGATGGTCACAGGTCACATGCAAGGGCGCGTCCATAAAACGGCCATGAATTCCTCAGAAGAAACTGGGYGAGCCAGAAAGGAGAGCACGATACAGTCCCAAGGAAAAACCTGTCAACCAAGAACAGTTCATCTGCAGACCATCCTTTAAAACGGAGAAGTCAAGACATCTGTAGAGGAACACAAGCGTACTAGGTCTCACAAGAAGTGCTAGGGGGAGTCCTTCCGACTGAAACACGCAACAGTGAACAGCCGCTTCCCTGGAGAATGTTGGCTAACAGAATCTAAATCACAAAACGTACATAGCCATAGGTCGATATAACGGGTATACACTTAAAGATGTGATCTGTGTCGTCAAGAACAAAGTGTGAGGAAATACAGTTATAAAGCAATAAAGTATTTATAGGTTATTGAATTAAGTTTTAAAAAGAATACTATAATTTTAAGATGTTTTGTGTAATTACAATGGTAACCACAAAGAAATATCTAGAATATACACAAAAAGAAAAGAGGATCATTGCAAGCAAATCAAACAAACATGGAGATGGTAAGAGATGAAGGCGGAAGAAGAAGACTACAATCCATACAGAAAATCACAGAATAGCAACATTAAATATTTCCTGTTCAGAGTCATTTTAAATTTTAATGCATTAAATTCTCCCATCAAAAGACACAGATTGGCCAAATGGATTAAAAAGACAACGACAACAGACTCCGACTATAAACCGTCCGTGGAGATCCACTGTGGACATGGAGACGCACGCAGACTGAATGTGAGGGCAGGAGACGCGCTCCATGGGACTGGAAGCAAACAGGAGCACACCTTCGAGTGTCAGGCAGAAACTTCACATCTTTAGAGCCACAAAGGGTGATATCAACAATGGCAAAGGGTCAGTGCACCAAGAAGAAATGACTATAAACATTTGTACATCAACACTTAGCGCTTCTAAACATCTGAAGCAAACTTTAACAGAACTGATGGGAAAAATAGACACAACATAATAATGGTAGAAAATTTCAATACTCCATTTAAAAAATGCATAGAACTATCAGGCAGAAGAACAGAACAGRGGATTCGA